CTGATATATTAAATAGTTTAGGAAAAGTTTATTGTGATCAAGGATATTATGATCGAGCATTAACATGTTATCAAAAGGCATTTGCTATCAGTGAAATTAATTATACAAATGATCATTTACAAAAAGCTCAAACAATTGAAAATATTGGATTATTATATAAAACCAATGGAATGTTAGAAAAAGCTCTTGATGAACTTTTAAAAGCACTTGATATGTATAATAGAATTTATTCTAATAAACATCATGATATAGCTCGATGTTTTGGTCATATTGGACTTGTTTATGAAGCTAGTAATGATTTAGATTCTGCACTTAATTATTTTACTAAACAATTAAATATGGATGAAAACTGTTTATCAGATGATCATAAAAATATTCTAATTGATATTCAATGGATTATTGATATTTATAAAAAGAGAGAAGAATTTAAAAAAGCATTTCAATTTTGTCAAAAAAAATTTCAAGAAAAAAAGACTTCACTTGGAGAAAATCATTCAATGACATTAGCTATCTTTATGATAATGATCGATCTATGTGATAATCCTATGGATAAAAGTAATTATTATAAAAAAGCTTTATCTTTATATGAAAATTTAATACCATCTGACCCATATGCAACTATTAAATGTCTGGATACAATGATTAATTTTTATTTGAAGAGTAATGAAGTTCAAGAAGCATTGAACTATCAAATTAAAATGATTGATCTTGAACGACAATTAGTAATAGATGATCATATTAATCTTGCTTTGTCATTAGAAAGATTAGGAAAAATTTATGAAACTTTATCAAAAACAGGTGAAGCAAAAAAATGTTATAGAGAAAGTAAAATTATAATTGAAAAACATGAAAATAATCATATCAATATGGGTTCTTCTCATATGAATCATTCTGTTGATTCAAATTTACATCATCATCTAGGAGAATCAAATTTTACAAAAAGTAGAATATGTGTTTTACTATAATATTCTCTAATAATCTTATTTTTTCTTATAAAAAAAAATATATGTATACACGCTATTTTATCTGATAACATAGAAAATTATGATATGTATTTTATCAAAAATCTAGTAATTGTGATAGATCTGATCTCATTTAATAATCAAAATACATGTTTGCAAGTTTTTTTTTTTTTTTCTTCAAAACTTTCCTTCACATAAAGACATTCTATACAATGAAACTTATCTATCGTCGTAGATCCAAATAAAAAACTCATTAAATATTGATCAAAATAAAATAATGAGTAGAGTCACACATTAGAAAGGAAACATATAGATAAAGACTTACTAATACATCAACTAATTTTAGATGATGTTATCCATCCAAGTATGAGCATATTATTATTTCTTGAAGAATGCAAATATTACACAAATAGAGAATGATGATAAATCATTATAATTAAAAACAAAAGAAATTAAAAATCTTCATCAAATAAATATAAAGATTTTCTACATACGAAAATTAAATAAAACATAATATCATCTTTTTCTTCATGGGTTAAACGTATGCAACAATATATGATATAAACACTATTGGAATAATCTGTAAAGATCCATATTGTTGTATAAAATTAGGATTAATAATAATCAAGTAAAAGAAAAAAAAGCAAACAATCGATTAACAAAATTACTTTTTACCTTTTTCATTTGAATAAAATTGTGACTTATCATATAGTAGTCAGCATTCACTTACTATGTAGTTTCATATTTTGATGCAGAGTCATCAGTTTTATATGTGTAACATTCTAAAGAATGACGATCATGAAGAACTTTTTTTTATTCAATATGTACAACATTACAAGTAGCAACACATTTTATGAGTAGATTAATACGTAGGAACATATCACTATCTA